TAAATGGGAACAGATCCTGTAGTTGAGGTTTCCATTCTGAAACTTTTACCAGCTCTGTGTCTGCAAGGGCTTGAGGCTCTACTTGTGCATTTAGGAGTTGTACATAACAAACTTTGGAATAAATTCAGAAATGTAAACATGCTGACGACTGCTAAGTATAATTGAGAGGTTGCAGTTTAGCTGTTGTCAGAAGATTATCTGGTTTGTATTTGGAGCTCTGGGATGTTGAGTCTCTGTACAGGCTGATTTAACACCTTTCCACCTCTATGTCTAATGACATATGAACTATCTAAAGCATGATATGAGACATAAGTGGAAAATTCTCTGTAAACTGTGGACAGAGCCACTTTCTTATTGTGTTAAGTGGTGATGATGCAACAGGCACATAGTAGGAGCAAAGTCTTGGGGTTTGTTTAGTGGCTCTTGTGCCGCTTGCGCAATCCAGGCTAGCAAGGAAGAATCCTGGTAAAGAGCTTGTTTGTATATGTAGACTTGTATAGGATATTGTTTGATCTTAAAGGCATAAAGCCTTTCCTCTTATTTTTCTCCAGAAAATAAACCAGAAATTTATAACCAACACGGAAGAGTTTGACACCCTTCAGAAGATAGTGCTCCACGAAGTGAATGCAGGGGTGGCACAAGTTAGAAACTCTGCTACAGAGGCTCTGTTGTGGTTGAAAAGGTAGCAACCTCCTCCTATCTATTTAGGTGATAAGCAGTTCTGCTGTGATGATCTTTCACCAATGCAGGCTTCTGTTCATAGCGCAGACAAGTTACTTTCACAGGTTTTGTTAATCTAAACTGACTAGGGTCAAGTTTGTGGTCTGTGCTTCTGTTGGCAAAGTGGCAGTGGGAAGAGCAGTTGCAGATAATCTTTCCCTCCCCATCCCCATAAAAGTGGAAACAGACCCCCCCACTAAGTGCCAGTGCTAGGGAAGAGGCTGCGGGAGATGGCTGCATTTCTTTTATATGGATGAAAAATGTCTGCTTAATTCTGGGTTTTATAAGCAATAGGAATTCTAAGATACTGAAATTATGAAGCACCAAAAATTGTGTTGCAAACTGAGAGGTTTGGTTATAAACATGTGTGTGTTCTGTTTGTTTTTTACTTTGTGGGCTCATCCTGACAGAGGCTTGAAGTTCTTGAAAGGATTTTTAACAGAAGTGAAGAATGGAGAAAAGAATATCCAAACAGCTCTGAGTAAGTTGCAGTAGCTTTATTCTTCACATGTCTCTGAATTTATGTACTCAGCTATTTTCCTTCTTGTTTAGAACCTGAGTTTTCTTTTTTTTCCTGTGTATATTGATACAGCTAGCCCCAGAATCCAACTTTTTGGAAAATTGTGGTCTTCAGGTGGGTTACTGGGTAACTGGTTGATCTTGATTTAATGCCAGCTGAAGATTCATCTAATTGGCGTTCATCTAATTTTGGCATGAAGAAAAGGCAGTATAGGTGGTATAGCTTGTTGGGTCTGTCTGAGAATGTAGCCAAGGCTATATTCAGGAGCACTTGCATGAGACACATTGAAGATTATTTTAATAAAAGTCCAATACTTTCTGTTCCAGGACGTTAAGACTTTACCCTCATATATAAGGGTAAAGACCAAACATTACTCTCCTCGTTTAATGTCTGAGCCAAGTGTCTGGATTGAGACTGGCTATATGTTAGTACACAGGGTTGTTTTCTCCCTCTGTCATATTTTTCTAGACCTGCACGGAAGTGAGAGCTAAAGAGGGGGAGAAAAGTCAACCATGAGGCAAAGCTAGTCAAGTACAAATTACATTCCCCTCCTATCTGTGCGAACACCTTATGTGCCATGGATGACTTGTTTGAGATCTGACAGCAGAGCTGATACCTGCCTCCCAGTTTTCCCAACCCAGAAATCCTAATTGTCATCTCCTTTTCTCCTTCCTTTCAGTCATATGAGTAATGCTTAAAAAATAGCCATTATTTGGGTCCAGCAACAAGGGTATATGTTCAGAACTAGAGGTTTTCATGCTCCAACTTTTCATAGCGATGCAAGCTTAAAACTGCCATACCTATATACACACTTCTTTTCTCTCCCCCTTTTTTTTTGTTTTTGTTTTTCCTCCCCTCTTTGTCCTTTAAGACAATGCTTATGGGAAGACGTTAAGGCAACACCACGGCTGGGTTGTGCGTGGGGTCTTTGCGGTAAGTAATTCTCTTGGCTGCCAGGGGTCTTGCTAATGTGATGTTGTATTGCATATACCTAATCTATTTTAAAATTTGTAAGCCTTGAAATGAAGAGGATCTTTTTGTCAGACTTTATCTTGAGGGTGAGGACTGTGGAGGTTGCTGTGTAGCATTGCACTTCCAGGATGGGACCTGTTTTGGGTTTTTGTTTGTTTGGGCTTTTTTTTTTTTGCCAAAACACATGGGTTGCTCTTTTCTGCATGAAGTTCTCATTATTTCTTTTGCAACAGTGTTGCAAATCTTTTATAAGAATCTAAAATACTGTCATAAGAGAGCTATAAAATGAAGATGTGGAGTTTTTGGGGTTGTTTTTTTGAGCCTGGATGTCTCTGAATGACAGCATTTGAGAAAGTGTGAAGGAGGCTAGTGTGGCTCATAACATAATGGCCAGAAGAAATGGTTTAGTTTTTGTCCAAGCGGCAGCTCCCTCTTGTGTCTGTTCCTGGAAATTATCTGTGAACCTTGGAAAATCCTTGACTGAGGCAGCGCGACAGTGACTCGGAGAAGCGGGTGTTTTAGAGGCAGTTTTCTAAAAGGCTTTTGAGCATGGGACTTGAACACTGAAGTGTGTGGGACTAGGTTGGGATCTCTCATAACAAATTTTACTTTAGTTAGGTTCTGTGTTTAATACTTTTTTGACATTTGCTGTTTGTGCAAAATATGCTGCACAGACACTTTCTAAAAATAAGGGTTAAGTGGGACTTAAACTGGGCATCTACACAGAGATAATAAAAACTTACTTTCTTATCAGTTCAGATCTAACTTTTGCATGCCTACAGATACATTAAAGCATTAACATTTGCGTAATCAAAGTGCAAAGAGGGTACTGGATTAGGCGTTTTTTCTTGGTTCTGGCTGGATTTCTTTCACTGTTCTGTCTTTTTCCAAATCTAAAGACTTTGGTTCCTCCCCCAGCTAGCTTTAAGGGCGGCTCCAACGTATGAAGACTTTGTGGCAGCACTGTCTGTAGAGGAGTGTGATGCTCAGGAAGAAACCTTTTATAAAGGGATGCAGAGGGACCTCAGCATTTACTTACCAGCCATGGAAAAGCAGCTAAATATCCTGGACACTCTCTATGAAGTACATGGTTTGGAGTCAGATGAGGTGGTATGACAACAGCCGGACAGCGTCTTAAAACTTCAGGGACTGCGTCTGTTAACAAAGTGTTTTTTGTGTTCTTATTTCTGGACGTTGCTCCTGTTTGTTGCGTATCTTCCATTGGGAAGGGTATGAGTGCTTTTTTGGGGGAAGGGTATGTATGGACATGTGTGTTTGTGTATTTTTTATGCTTGTTTTGTGTTTCAGTGCAGAGGTACTGTTTCTCTTAGGGTCATAGCTCTGTCTGCGGTGAATGCTTTGACTCCATAGCTCTGCCTCTCTCCTGCCTCGCTCCCTCCCCTCGTCACACCTATGAAGGGAAGAGGAGCGGAGCGTGGCCGGCACGGAGCGGAGCCTCCCATGGGAGCTGTGCTGCGGCAGTGTGCTCTGCAGCAGCAGGCCCTCCCGCAGGCACCAGCCCTCTTGCCCCGTGCATCAGCCGTGTAGGAGGACGGGAGTAACGAGAATTATTGTCACCCTGCTGGCAGGAGAAAGCTGGCATCCCACTGCTGCTTCCCCAGGTGTGCAGTGAGTTTATCCTTTTTTTTGACTTATTGTGGATGCAAGCACTTCTGCTCTTCACTGCACCTCCCCAAGCAGCTGAGCTCTTCACCATGAGCTGGTGCCTGGAGCCTCCCCAGGAGCCCAAGCTGGAAGCCAGGACCGGTCGCTGCATTCCCCACTCAGCTGCCACGCTCTGCCCCTTGGCTCTCCTGCGCCGGGGCAATCCCATGGGGAGCATCCCCTGATCCGTCCTCGTTGTGCCTAAGGCTGGGAGAGGATGGCTGCAGAAGATGGTCTGCTCTGCTCCTGGTCAGGTTGGCAGGCAGGGGAATGGGCTCCAGAGGTTTCTAGGTCTGCACTGTCCTCAGCACGCCAAGGTGCAAAGGAAAATCATGTTCATCACGCTGGGTTTTGGGCGCCTTGGGGAGTAGGTGGGTTGGTTTTGAGTTTAGGGTTTTTTTAAATCAAATTCACGTGAAGGCATATTTACCTTTAAGTTGAACACAGCTAGCAGTTTATAAGCAGTTTGTCTGGAAACCCTTCTTTGCCTCTGGCATTGTAGGCAAAGACTTCATAAAAGCGGATATGAAGTGATTGAAGTTGGAAGGAAGTTATATACAGGAAGGAAACCATATATATTTGGCCACTTGCAAGCCTTTAAGTCCAAAATTGTGTAAAAGCAATAGGGTTTTAGGAAAACAACACTTCTGCTGCCTTTTCCCCTTTATGCTGGTAGAGATGATAATGTTCTCTCTTGCACAAAGCCATCCAAAGCCCTATGTCACTACTGAAAGATTCACTTAAGCCTTGAACTGGCAGTAATTCATAAACCTGATGTTGGCCTTCAACACAAGTTAGGAATTTTGCCCTTCCCTATGTCACTTGTTAAAAGGACACTTTATTATTACTTTTAATAGCAGCAGTGCTGAGGGTTGAGTTTGTCATGTACAGAAGGAGAGAGGACTGCTAGCTGGATACTTGGAAGGGAGCAAATCTTCATAAACACAAGGGAGATTTCAGTGTTGCCTTCTGCAAGGAAATACTGGCTTTCACTAGACCAAAACCCATGCCAATCCTGAGAAAAGGCTGCTTTCGTGCTGATGCAGCATCTCTGGCAGGAGCCTCTCTGCACACGTAATACTTGATCCTTTCTATAGAGTCTACCATTGCTAGCATTAAGAAGAGCATGTGATAAGGGAAGAAAAGACCAAACATCACACTTTGTGAATAAAGCAGAATGCCAGAACTGTGATTAGCTGTGACTAAATAGTGTGACTTTCCTTCCTCCTCACTTCTCCAACATCTCTAAAGAGCTGCTGGCTACCTATAGTTCCTACATACTCCAAAAAATAATCAGGATGTAGGATATGTTTGTTCTAAAGTAGTATATAAAATAGTAGTACTTAAAGTCCAAAGCTATGGCCAAACTCCAATTATTTCAGCAACTGCAGTGCTAAAAATGAGCGTCTGGGTTTGGAGCCTGTCTGCTTCTCCTGAGCATTCATGCTGAGAGGCTGCACTTAGAGTAGAGCAACCAGCTCTCCACCCGTGTGGTTTCTGTGGGATTTTCGGCTAATAAGTGGTAAACTGCAATAGTTCTTAGCTGAGGAAATATTGGAGACCACATTTCCGCCCAACTACCAGTTGTGGTAGAGGGTGGGCAGGAGGAGGTCCCTCTTCTGTGAAATTAATTGTGAGAGCGTGGTGAATGTCAGCATCTCTTTTACTCCAAGCTTCTGCAGGAGCAGGAAAGAGTATCCAGCACTTAAGGACTTGGAGGGTGAGCTTGGTTTGTGTGGGTGTGTGTTTTGTGTGGGTGTGAGGCTTTTTTTTTTTTTTTTTTAATAGCAAGAGAACCACTAGTTTGGTAGTAGTGTATCAAACCTAAGGCTTGATGCAAAAATAAAGAAGCTTTGCTTCTTAAATAATAAAGTTGACAGTCTCATGATGGCTTCAGAAATTACTGACTCCTCTTCCTCTTGCTTGTAGCAAGTGGAGAGCTCTGTGTGTTACTCTGAGTATTGCGGAAGCAGTGGGACATCCCAGCTGGGAGTGGCCTTTCTGGTCCAAATCCCCCTGGAGAAAAACAGTCTTTTGGAATTTTGGACTTGGTGCTTGGGAGACGGTGACTTCGGGAGGCCCCTGTGTTAAATAGGGGACCTGCAGAGGTGGAACTGAGCAAGGTCTCCTCTTCTGATGACTTTTTGCTTTCAAGGCTCATGCTGCATTATGCCCTGCTCTTGCAGTGGGCACTTTTACCATTAATGAATGCTCAAGGGCCACTCAGAAACCTCTACAGCACGTTGCAGAGCTGAACTCTAGAAATTGCACCACTAGTAGGGATGCAATAGACCAGATTGCCAAGCATAAACAAGTACTCTGCCAGACAACTTGATCATTTATTTCTTTGTGGTGTCAGTTTGGCAGCCAGAGAAGTGTTTTTGATTTTCATTATTCTAGCAAGCAACTAACTACTGACCCCTAGGTTTGGAGTCAGAGAGGAAGTGTTGTTGTGACGTGCGTGTGTTTGTGTGTGTTTTATGTCTGGCACTTGAGAACTGACCTGCACACGGATGGGCATCCATATGACTCTCAGATAACAGCACCCTTGCTCTGTGTGCTTTGAACAAACTGCTTTGATTTCCTAAACTGCACCTGTCTGCAGTTGTGCATCCCTTTTCTTTAGAGATGCTTTCTGCTGTTTCCCTCAGTGTCAAACAGTTGCATATTCTCAGGGATTTTACTTAGCCATGGCAAAACAAAAGCAATCACAACCTTACCCTAGGGGCAAGTAAGGCTGCTTTTTTGTGTGAAATGGGTATAGCGGAGTGTGGAGCTCTGGTACCGTGTGTGGCGCTGGCAGCCTGTGCCCTGGGCCTCCTTTTTGGGCCGTGGCGAATCCCAAAGCAATCCAATAAAGTGCTACCAGGCACGGAATAACGGCTGGCAGCGTGTTTTAATAGGGATCATATTCATATCTTTGTAATATAGTGCCATTGGCTTTAGAGCAGAGCTCCCACGTGATTTCAGTTGAGTTCTGCGTAGCAGTAGGAGGCTTTAATTTATTTTATTTATTTTAGGTTTTTGGATTTTTATTTTAAACCAACTGTGTTCTGGAGCCCCCTCTGCTATTTTTTTAAGACACGGTACTCAGTTGTGTGTTGAGGATATGTGAGATTACAATAGCAGAATATGAGCTGGATACTCAAGTGCTTTAGTGCAAACATTGAGTCATAGAAACATCCTCTCGTGATACTACTATAATGGGTCTGCCTTTAACAAGCGCACTTAAAGTTAAGGGTTGTATGCCCTCATGAGGTTCTGTAAAGCTTCATCAGGATTTAGCTAGGTAGTTTGCTATTAAAAAAACTTCTCTAAGAAAGAAAATAATTGAAAATTATCCCTTGCTTGGCTGGACATATAAAAAGTTTGCCCAAAATGCGCTCCTGTTGTATTGCCCCGTGCTTTGACCAAGGGCTGTGGACCATTCTACATAAACATATATATTTGTTTGTTTGTTTGTTTTTTAATTACTATTATCTTTCAAATCGGATTCTGCAAAAAGCTCTTAGAGAGCCCTAAAATGCCTTTTGGACACTAGAGGAGAGCATCAGCACGTTCCTGTCGGGCTGCCTCCCTTTCCCTCTTCCCCACATGTTCAAGCTGCTGGAGCTGCTACTGTCAGTCCTTTACAAGAGCCCCAGAGCAGGAGTTCACAAGTAGTTAAAAATATAAGCTAGGAAAAACAGACCTGAATTCTGTGGCAGGCAACCAGACGTAGAGCCAGATGGAGAATGTGCTGTTCTTCTTTGAACTTGCTCCCTGGTTTGGCATCTTTTGCCAAGAAAATGACTCCACTTTGAAAGTTTAGTTTTACCAATAAAATGTAATTTGGGACCCTTAAGAGCTGGCCAGTTCTTCCTCTTACTGGGAGAAGGACAGGGACTGTTTTTCTTAATGGGCCTTTTTTCTCTTCTCTTGCCTGTAGTGTACTGATGAAAAGGGAGGGGGAAAATATTGGAGTTTGTGCATTTTTGCCACCCTCTCGTGGCACATTAGTGGCCACTTGCAGCTTTGCCCTTCTTCGTGCCCAGGTAAATAAGCAGTTGCTGCAATTCTGGAGCCTTTCCCTCCATCCACCAGTTTGGCGACTTGAGCATTTAATTTCCCCTGCATTCAGGGAAGCGCAGGGGCTGCAGCAGGTGCTCCAGCCCCCTCTGGAAAACTCCGGATGTGCTAAAGGGTTTTTATGTATGAAACCTCCTCCTTTTCATACCCTGGTTTCTGCACTTAAGTACTAGTGCTAAGCTGGCTTTGCAGCATTCAGGGGTCCAAAAATTATTCCTCATTGCCCTTATTTAAAACAGTCTTGAAAATTTGACATTTATGTCAAAATAAAACCTATAAAGTAATTAAATAGCTTTGTTTTCTTGCTTCCATTCCTTCCTTCTTCCCTTCTCTCCCCCCATTTTTTTTTTCTTTTTCTGCCAATTTTGGGCATTCATTTTATTAATGCCAAGCTGGGCTTACAGTGAGCCTTACTTAGATGAATGCATT